CCCTACCTGTTTGTTCTTTATCCACAGGCAATCATGCTAAGTAGTAATTTCCATAAGCCAACTTGACTAGTAAATTAAATAGTATTTACATCCTTTTTTGAGACACTAAACTGATTAGATGATTAGACGAGTAAATTGTTATATAAAAGGACACTATGCCCTTCTTGAGTTATTTTGCGTTAAAGAAATAATAGGTCTGTTGAAAGAGAATATCATGATTCTTTCTTTGTCTTTTTAACCTGTTAAAGTTTGGCTTTATATTCTGAAGGGTGTTCAATATTGAAATCACTGTTACTTTTCAAAGGATGACTCAGGAATGATTTAAAAAAATTTAAAAAACGTCATACCTTATATTAAGATTATATTTCTGAGCAACTAATGCAGAATTACATTGCCTATACAGGTGGATAAGTTTGTGAGACCTGTGCTGTTTCTTTTCCTTCATTGCTGTTGCTGGATCTGGCTTCGAGAACATTCTGATGGGCCACTCACAACTCTGTCTAGGATGTCATCTCCTTTGAGAGGCATTAGAGCACAGCCGTTAAGAACATAGGCTTTAGAGCGACATGTTCGGTGATCTTAGATGGGAGTGGAGAGAGAATGATACTGTGTTAGAATAAGTGCCAGCATATGATATGCACTCTCTATATATTAGCTATTGAAAATACAAAGTGAGCCAATTTAATAAATAGGGAAACTCTAAGAAGACAAGCATCAGGGTTGACTTGTTTAATGCTGTCTTGTGGTGCCTAGCTCAATGCAAATACACAGTAGGTGATTAATATATGTATGTTGAGTGAAAAAAGTAAATGAGAAGTAGTAGCAGAACCTTTCTTTTCTAGATATATTTGGGGCACTTATCCACCCAATATAGTAAGAACTGTCATTTACCAAACATGTGCTATTTTCTAGGCTTTTAATAATTATGTATTTTCGTATTTGTCCTTTATAGGAATCCTGCTTTACAGGTGAAAATTCTAAGACTTAGAAAAGTCAAATAATTTATATGTCATCACACAGATTACACTACGTTCTAGAGTTGGAATTTGAATTCAGTTCCATGTGACTGCAAAGTCCATTATAGCCTCTGTTTTACGACCCTAAAGTGCAGAGATCTTAGCTCTCATTACATGGAGTGTTAGTTAGTATTTTGACAAGAAGCACACAAAATAACAATGTCAGATAAATACCTTTCTAGACAAAAACTGCAGTAATGATAGTAATGATGTTTGTAAGTAAATAAACATGATGTACATACAAATTTTATATGATAGGAGGTTTATAGTGAAATAACTGCTAATGACACCCTTTGTTATTTTTGTTGTGTTTTGTTTTTGTTTTTAATTTTGTTTAGTTTTTAAATTTCAAGGCCTATTTTACAGATTTCTTATTTTCTAAATTTAAAAAATTATTTTATTTTGTTTTATTATTGACTATGTATCTGGTACTTAGATTTGCTACTGTTGAACTAGTAAGTAAAGAATACTTATTTGTGTTGCATATGCTGTATTTTTTGTCTCGGTCACTGCAACTATTCATTAGTTAGTTATCTATATCTGAATTAAATTTTAATGTTTTTAATCAGAGTAATCTTAGTCTTTTATTAGATAAAGTTCTATAAGCAATTGTAAATATCACCAGCAGAGCCTTTGCCCTAAATTCTATTGTAATCCTAGTATGAGTTCTACAAAAGAATTCTTATTTTCGGTTGCAGATTATCTGAATTCCTCTGGATTTTAAAGTTAGGAGTCAAAGCAGGCAACTGGCTTAACTATCTCTCTAAATTCTCCAAATATCATGTTCTGTGATTTCAATTAATAAAAAAGTCTGGTGCAGTGATGAGGACAGGCTAGTCCATGAAGGGTCCAGCAGCCAGCAAAAGAGAAAGGGATGTTTGTCCAAGGACAGGTTTATTTAAACTCCTCTCGCTGAGGTCCCCAATCCAAAAACATAGTGGAAACAATGCTTTGACTTTGTGTTCAATCCACACATTTCCCCCACTGAAGTTGGATTTTTCTCGGTGACTGTGAAGTGTACTTATGGTGGGTTTGGAGTGGGATCAAAGACAGAGAGAAAGAGAGTGATGCCGTATCTAGGCCACCAGTTTTTCCTCTTTTTTTAAATTGCAGATATTTCTCTCTTGGCTAAATTGTCAACTATGTTTCTCTACAAACTGCTTGTTTTTTTTAACAGCTTTGTGGAGATGATTTGCATACCATAAAGTTCACCATTTATAATATACAATTCATTGATTTTTAGTGCATTTACAGAATATTGTAACCATCGCCATAATCACAAATGACCACATATTGTATGATCCCATTTATGTGAAACGTCCAAAACAAGCAAATCTATGAAGATACATACAAAGCAGATTGGTTGTTTGCTAGGAGTGATAATCACTGCTGACTGTTGGGGGGTTTCTTTTGGGGTTATTGCTTGTTTGTTTTTAATCAGGCTAATCTTACTCTTCTGTTAGATAAAGTTCTATAAGTAATTGTAAAGTTGGCATCTACTTTAGGTATGAAATATATGAGTGAAATACCAATTTCCTTGGATCAACACTTACAATTCACTTGTCCCTTATGCCACAGTGATTTCCACTGTAGTCAGAATGAACTCTGGACAGCCCATCCATGATCAGCAGCCATGCATCGACCAAAGCTTGTCCATCACTCATGGCAATTTAATTAATTAATTAATTAATTAAATTTAGTTTAATTGAATTAAATTTGAATCTTGAAAGGAAAATTCTTCAGCGTAGAGTTACTATAGAGAGAAAACATTGCAAAATGATGGAAACAATCACCTGGATAACATCCCATACAAATGAAAGATTTTATTTTTTCTTCTACCTTATTCTAATAGTTTGCCTCAGCTATAGGTAGTCTTATTTAATTTGGAATGAGCACTACTGAATTGAAATTTTCTTGATCATTTAATATAAGTCATTAGTATGCTACTATGATTTTTTTAAATGGCGTTTTACTCATCATTTAGAAAAAATTCTTTAAAATATTAAGAACAGTATACAAAATAATAACATTGTCATCAATAGCAGTGATAATAAGGCTAATATTTATTAATGCCTACTGTACTTGTATGTCCTAGGCTGTATTAAACACTTAATTTACATGATTTTGCTGAATGCTTATCAAAACCTTGTGAGATAGAAACGTCATTCTCCCCAGTTACAGATGAGGAAAATGATTTCAGAGTTGATTTCCCCCAAGATCACGCAGTCAGTAGCATCTAGACCAAGTGTGTCTGAGCTCTAAGCACATTCTATTCACCACTGTGCTATGACATCTTTTCTTGACAATGTGTCAGCTAAGGACCAAAAACATAATGTTAAAATGCTTATAATAATAATTGGAAAACTTGGCTCTGTTGCACCATTTCTCATCTGTTTTTGACTGAAACTTAACATCTGACTTTTCTTTACTAAATCTGTGATACTTTGAGCCCTCTCAGTCTGTTAATTCTGTTTTTTTTTTTTTTTTTAAATTTGAAACTTATGGACACTTCAAACCCTGATATAGTCACTCTTTCCTAGTTTATAATTCTCATTTTCCTTTACTTCTTCGATTAATTAATTCGTCTCTTTAAACATTCACCAAATGGTATATTTGGTTCTTTGTTTCATTATTCTACTGTCCTTCTAGTCAGACAAAATGCCAACCCCAAATCTCTGTGGTTTTCTGCCATCTCCACTCCTACACCTACGCTGCTGAATAGTGTGCTGGAAAACACTACGCAATAATCCAAATTTGAGATAGTATGCATTCATGATCTCTAGCCTCAATGGAGCTTTTCATAATGCTCCAAAATTATTCTGCCTGTCAACCAAAATTTTCTATAGTATTCTATATTCTGCCTGTCAACCAGAATTTTCTATAGTATTCTGTGGTGGCTACTCCTAACCTTCTCTACTTTGTTCAAATTACTAAATCCTCCACTTCACTACTCACTTATTTCTTTCTTTTCAAAGAAAATAGGAACTATAATAATAGAAATGCCTCAAACTATTATTATTTCATATAAGCATTCTTGAATTCTACAAATTCTATAAGCATCCTTGGATTTTACAAATCCTTGAAAAATGTTGCCTAAATCTAGTATCACCGGTTCCTCACTTCCCCATTACTCATTTGTTCATTGCACACCGGTTCCTCACTTCCCCAT